GAGCAAATCGTCTAGGCATCTGCTTGATGGGCTTCTTGCCATCCTTGATTGGAAGCCTATGTTCTACCAGTTCCCTCTTTAAACCAGGCATTTCGAAGAAAGCATTCTGCTCTTCGACCGCTCCATTGTTCATCACATAATAGCATACTGGCCTATGTCTGGCTATTTCGTCCTCATCAGTCCCCTCATCAGCATAAACCTCTGTTTCCTTATTGTATTCGCAAGGCAGCACCGAAACTACATTGCAGTTTACATTGAAGAAGGATTCCCCCTCAGATTCGAAGGCATCAGTCATCAAGTCCTCTTCGTTCGCAGCTTCCTTATGAGTCCTATTTTCTTTAGTGTCCCTCTGTGGAGAAAATTTTTTCCTGGATACTGGGGGTTTGCCCCCAGTCTGGTTCAGTGATGTTGGGTTATTGGTACTGTATTCTCCTACTCCCGTAGGTTTCAAATCCCTTGCAGCTTTTTGGTTTCTCTGGTGTCTGCGCCACTGAGAGCGAGACATTGGGTTTATGCCTTTATAATTCTCCAATCTTATTTCTTCCCTCCTGTTTGAATTGAATTGCCTCCTGTAAGCCATTGCAGTCCTGCCTCCTCGATCGAAACTGCGCCACTTTCCTTTTCCCTTATCAGCATTCACTTGCAGCCATCTGTCAGTGGGGATTTCTGCAGGTAGTTTAAAGGAAACTCTCTTTGCTCCCCTGGGATAAGGGCTATCTGGCCTCCTTGGCAAACTTCTGGCTGTGCTAACAAGATTCGAAGGCATTCTGCCTTGGTGCCCCCAGCCTGACGCAAACGGAATTCTCTCGAATGCTTCAGCCATTTCCTTATCATACACTGCTGCACATCTGGGACATATTAAGCATTTTGTTCCAATCTTGTGGCACCGAACCAGGAATTCGAGAAGAATTTCATCAGCTTTTGGATAGACTTTGTGTAGTTGGTTGTCTTGCCTCCAGTTGACTCCTGTTTGTTCATGCTGGGCCCTTTCGAATTCAGCAACAATTCTGGGGTTGCAGATGATACTGCACCTTGGGCATATCAACTTTTCCTGATTTTTCTTATGATAGTGGAAGAGGTATTCACGCAAACCTGCATCCTTTCTAGGTAAGTTCTCTCTTCTTTTATCTCTTTCCCTCTCTAAACAGCGTTCCACTTCTTCCATTTTAGCGTTAGGTTGTTCGAAGTCCACCATATTCACTCCCAGCATTTGGTCATCAGAAATTTTGACTTCTTCAAATTTCATCCTAAGACCTTCAGTGGCCTTAGCTAATTTTCTATCACTTAATACCTTTGCTTTGAGCACCTTTGGGAGGCCATCAATAGCCTCTATTTTTTTGATCAATGGGAGGCTATCAGTATCCTCTCTTTCGTTTTCGATTAAGATGAAGTCCTCATCCTCTTCGAATTCCTCCTTTGACTCAACTTTCCCCTCAGCAATTTCCACCACATTGATGTCTAGAGGTTCAGCATAGTTAGTCTCTGCCATCAACAACGGATCAGTATCAACTTTCATTGTATTCTTTCCCTTGTCTGAGAACTTCAGCCTGCCATCTTTGATTGCATTCTGTATCAGATCTCTGAAAAGAAAATATTATGAGGTTTTATGGCCTAAAAAGTTGTGATATTTACAAAAGCCCCTTTTTTTCCTTTGTTCCAACGGAGGAACCTTAAGGTTAGGAGGAACTATTAACTGACCATCTTTAACAAGTAGATCAAATATCTCATCACATTTAGTTATATCGAAAGTATAGATTTTCTTGGGGAATTTATCATTCCTTTCACTTTCGACAGAATCCTTTCCATTGGAAGGAAGTAGAACTTTGCAAGCATAAGGGGGTGCTTCTTTTAGTTCTGCAAGATCTATTTCGAACTGATCAAAATCATAAGGGTCTTGAGGATTATCTATGTTTTCCTCTTCAGCCTCTATGTAGGCTATTCTTTCTTTCTTATGATTTTTACTAGCCCTGGCTTTTTCAGCTTTTAACCTTTCGACCTGACACGCTCTGTCTGCTAGTTGGGCCATATCTCTAAGATACTGTGTATCCAATTTCTTTCGAATGGAATAATCTAGGCCCCCGGTAGCCATTTCGACCAATTCATGTTCAGGGACCACTGTGAAGCATCTGGATTTTAATAAACAGGATCTATTCAAATATTCATCTATTGGTTCCGTGAATTTTCTCTTAATGCTTCTAGTTCCTTGAGACTGATTTTAGACTGACCCATGTAAAATTGTTCATGGAAAAGTCTTTCTAAATAAGGCCATGTGTCCACAGATCCAGGGGGCAAGGTGGTGAACCAAGTGAAAGCGTTCTTTGTTAAAGAACTTGGGAAGTATTTTATCCTAAGATTTTTATGATTTGCTATATGTCCTGCTTCTGTTAAATATCTTGCTATATGTTCCACTGTTGATTCACTTGTATCTCCAGCAAATTTCGTGAATTTAGGAACTTTAACGCCCCTGGGTAATTCTGTTTGCAAAACATAATCTATAATAGGAGATGTGTAATTTGGCCTCCTAAATCCCGAATTTAAACCATTCTGGGCCATTATTCTTTCAATCATGGTGGTGAGGTTATTTTCTGCCACTAAATTGTCATTCCTAATTCTATGAACAATTTCGTCTGCATTTTGGTCCCTATTCACCATCATTATAGGTCTAGGCTGTTCATTCTGAACTTCCTGAATTCCATGGTCTCTTAATCTTACCCCTATATTTCTTTCTTCGACCACTTGTACAGGGGGTCGAATTTGTTCAATTATGGGTTCTTCATTTCAAATTACCATTGGGTTTTGCCTACGCCTTGCAGGCGCATTAGGGGCACCAAAAAAACTACTATTCTGGCCATCTGGGCTGCATTTTCTTGGTTTGTTCTATTTATATTCTGGATTAGGGGATTGAAAATAGCATTCATTTCGCGGGCTAAGATTCCTATCATATCATGATTGCTATCATCCATCTGTTGTCTAAGCGCTGCCTGACTATTAGTTGTAAGAGTAGGCAATTGGGCGAAGTTTCCTGTATTCTGGAAATTTGTACCCAAATGGTTCATTCCCGAACTAGATCCTTGGAGTGGGGATGAAGTTGTTGTATTATGTAACCCTGCCATAAACGAAGTTGGCATCCCATACTGAGGATTTCTGGGTCTCAAAGGTTCGAAACCTGGAGGCCTAGGGGGGGTCGAATACTGTTGATTCCCTATGTGTGGCGCAGTTTGCACTGAAGACACGTTTGATGGCATGTCTAATGTACTTACTGGGATCGTATTCGAACTGCCAACAGGAATGGCATTGGAGGCATCAATTGAACTTGAAACGATTGTTGCAGCCCCCTGTGGGGGATTCCGTACCCCATCTTGGTTGGTTGTATTAACCATTGTTTTGGTACGTTGTTTTCTGGGTATATGTGGATTGTTATTCTTTATTTTACCGCTTCAAAGGTTCATGTACCGAAACACGCTCCACACTCAGAAAATCCTAAAACTTCTCTAATATGTTTAATAAAAAAAAATTGTTATGACAATGTCCCACCAGGTGTGCCAATTTGTTTACAGTGATTTCTAGTAAACAACCGCTAGTCTTCCAATTTACTAATTATTATTGGTTACTTGCAGGATCGACTAGATTGATCCTAGAACACATGTGTCATAACTCATTTCCATGTTCATATCTATTATATTGATAGACTTATATTGTATGTTAAGTTCGAATATGAGATTCTTAGGAAAGATTTCTAAAATGGTCTATAGGAATAAACTAACTGAATGTAGGAAGGAAAGGCTTCGAATTAGACTTGGGCTTGAATGTAAAGATAAGTGTTTGACTAAAAGGATAAAGTGAAAGTAAAGTTTCTAACGAAGTGACTGTGTTTAAAGGCAAGTAAAACAAGGAAATGCAAGGAAATCGAAGGATTTAAAGGGCAAGGAAATGCAAGGAAATCGAAGGATTTAAAGGGAAAGGAATACTGTAATGGAGAACTAAATATAACAAGACTTGTATTGAAATTGTAAAAAAATAATGATGTTCAATACGTACATTGTATCTTCTGACTCGTTTTCCTTAATTCACGGTAGTTTGAGTATTTTGAGATTTTTTAGTACATAAAAGTGAACATCCCTTAAATCTAACATAAGAACACCTATTTATAATGTCTTGACCCTAACGGCCCTATTCTAAAATCACGCCACGTTCGAAGCATGCAGGCTTCCTATGTCTGCTGACTTCCACGCGTCTTCTAGAATGGCACTCTTTACTTGAAATTCAAAATTTGTACCAATCGAAGCATCTTGTTCCTTCGTTGCTTTCGAAATAACCCAATTACCTGGACCGTTTCCAATTTCTGGCACCCTGACATAAAGGAGCTTTTTTATAATTTGAACACTAAAAGAAGTCCAAATCGAAATCCGCTGGAAATTGAATAATCCTTCAGCATAATGACTCCATATTTCCCACCAATATCCAATATTGATATTAATCTCCTTAGGTACTTTTATTCTAAATATTATTTTGATAGTGGTTTCTTCCTTATTCGAAATAGCCAGCTAACAACTATGAACTTCAATTGCATTCTTAGACCGTTCCCAATTTATCACAGCTTTCACTTTGGATGGATCTACGGCTACACCGCCACCAGAAATAACATATATGAGGAACTTGACCTCCGACATCCAGAACTCACACTTGCTAAACTTCACAAACAAATGCTTCTCCCTCAGCATAGACAATATAATCTTTAAATGTTCCATATGCTCTTCCACAGTCCGAGAATAAATGAGAATATCATCTATAGAGATTACCACGAAGTGGTTCAGATATGGGTGGAACACACGTTTCATGTAATCCATAAAGAGAACAAGAGAATTGATCACTCCAAACGACATAACCAAGAATTCATAATGACTATATCGCATCCTAAACATGGTCTTAGATACACCCGAACTCTTGACTCGAATTTGATGATATCCTGACCTGAGATCAATCTTCGAGAACACGTGGGCTCATTTCAAATGACCCAGAAGGTCATCAATCAGTGGTAAAGGATACTTATTCCTTATGGTCACATTATTTAGTTGGTGATAGTCAATGCACAACCGCATACTACCGTCTTTCTTATTAACCAACATAACAGGATCACCCCATGGAGAAACACTAGGCCGAACAAAGTGTTTCGCTAACAACTCTTTTAACTGGCTCTTCAATTCCCTCAACTCAGCAAGAGACATTATGTACAAAGCAACAAAAACTAGAGCGGTTCCTGGAATAAGGTCAATAGAGAACTCAGCTTCCCTTTCTGGAGGAAGATAAGTGACATCTTCCGGAAACACATCAGGAAATTCACACACAACATGAATCTCAAACACAGTTTTCCTATCTCCGGAATCCGTAGTGAGAAGCAAGAGAAAAGAATTTTCTTGAGTAAAAAGAAAGTTGACCAAGTTAATTGTACCTTCAATCAGGTTACCAATAGCATCAACCGGAGTGGTCGCCTCAACTGGAATGAAGATAACTTTTTCTTTACAACTGATATACACTGAGTTAGCTGACAACCAGTCCATTCCTAGTATTACATCGATCTTCTTAAGTGGCAAGCATATAAGATCAATCGAGAACCTACGACCATTAAAAGTAACAGAGAAATCCTTGCATACTTTTTGAGCCTCTACTACATCATATGTAGCATACGAGATAATCATAAGATTAGAAAGAGTGGTGGCTTCGAATCTGAGCCGTCACACAAATGAATTAGAAATGAAAGAATGTGTTGCTCTACAATCACTAAAATAAACATAGGTTTACTATTAACATAGCACGTACCAGGAACAAGATTTATGTTTCCTTGAGCCTTCCTCGCATCCAAGGTGTAAACAAGACCTGTAATCTTCTCACGTGTCTCCAGAGTAGGGGAATCTTTCACAAATTGACCTGCCGATCCGCACCTATAACACTTCTTTGGGTCCCCCATGCAATCCTCAGAGCCTTTTCTTGCACTTGTTACATTGAGGAGGTTGAGTTGAATGATTACCATAATCTTGCTTCCTAACTAGAGGAGAATTGTGATGTTTCAGATATTGCCCCGACTTCCCTTGATCCTTACACAAGGATCTGTTTTGCTTCCTTTCTTCTTTAACTCTCTTCAAACTGTTTTCGACAACATAACATTGCCTCAAACACTCAGCATAAATGGAGAATTCCCTTTGAGACACACTATGGGCAACATCAACATTCAGCCAAAACATAAACTGGTCAATCTTCCAGAATTCATCTGGCACATACATAACTTTCCTGGAGTAGGCATCCATGTCCTCAAATTTTTCCGCATACTCGGACACCGACATGTTTCCCTATTTGAACAACTGAAACTCTCTTTCCTTCTGGGCACACAGGGTGTTGGAGTAGTATTTCTCTAGAAATGTTGTCTTAAAATGCTGCCAATCTCTCAGAATCATCTGATAAGTGAAGTAGGTAGATGCAATATCCCACCACCTACCAACTGGACCCTTCAGCATTTGAGCAACAAACATCGCTTTTTCTCCTTCTGTGCACTGTATAACTTGGAATAACCTCTCCATTATATACAACCAATCATGAGAAGCCGTTGGATCTAAGACACCCAAGAACTCTAGAGGTTTTATTATGAAAAAGGCACAAAAATCTGGACCTGCTTGAGCTTGCGGAACGGGAGCGGCTGATTATTGCCCGTGTTTATTCTGTATGATCTGCATCATCATCTGATTCTATTGTTGCATTTGTTGCATCATCTGCAACCAGGGCACATTAGCATCTCCATTTTCAGCCTTAGGCTCCACATTCCTAGTCCTAGACCTTCAGGGGCCCAAGGTCAGATATCAACAGAGTGAGAAGGTGGCCTTGGCCCTCGTCAATGCAACAAGGAGACTTAGGCATTACTTTCTAGCACACATGATCATCATGCGAACAGACTAACCCATAAGGCAGCTCCTATGCCGACCAGACATGGCATGTCGAATGCTAAAATGGTCCCTGGAGCTCTCAGAGTTTGACATCCAGTATGAGAGAAGAAAGGCCCTCAAGGCCCAAGCACTGGCCGACTTCATCATAGAGATGACCGCTCACGATCCCCCCATAGGGAAGAAGCATAAGTGGACCATCTTTGTGGACATAGCTTCTAGCTCGACAGGGAATGGAGAAAGAATCCTCCTCGAGAATGAGGAAGGCGTCGTGATCTAACACTCCCCCACCCTTTCCTTTCCAACGTCGAACAATCAGGCTGAGTATGAGGCACTTCTTGCTGGATTAAGATTGGCTGAGGAATTGGGTGCTCGGGAGATACAAATTTTCACTGACTCCTAACTTGTCGCATCTCAAGTTCAAGGAGGATACCAGGCTAAAAACAACAACCTTATTAAATATTTACACATGGTCAGAGAACATATGAAGAAGTTCGACCGGGCAGAGATCACTCACGTGCCACGCGAACAGAACACGCGGGCCGACATACTTTCAAAGCTCGCGAGTACAAAGAAGAAAGGCGGGAACAAATTCGTCATCCAAGAATCCCTTTCTCTCCTGAGAATTGAAAAGTACACTATGCCACCCGAGGTAAACGCCATCGGGGACATCTCATGTTGGATGACCCCGATGTTCAACTTTCTGACAAAGGGGGAGCTTCCTGTAGACCAAAGAGATGCAGACGCGACCAAACGACGAGCGTGTTCGTACGTGGTACTTGAACATAAACTGTACCATTGGGGATTCTCCATCCCACTCTTAAAATGTGTCAAAGAGTCCACAATCCCCGAGATACTGCGAGAAATCCACGAGGGAATCAACGCCCAACACATGGGCGGAAGATCCCTAGCACGAAAGGTGCTACGAGCAGGCTACTACTAGCCGACGATGCAACAAGACTCCAAGGAGCATGTCAAGAAATGTGACAAGTGTCAGAGGCACGCGGACATGTACCTCTCGCCCCTGCACGAGCCAAACACACTGTCCTCCCCGTGGCCATTCGCCTGGTGGGGAATGGACATCCTCGTACCTTTCATGCAAGGGACGTACCAAAACAAATTTCTAATTGTGGTCGTCGACTATTTCACGAAATGGATAGAGGTCGAAGCTTTAGAAAAAATCACTTCACACAACATCCTCCGTTTTTATAAACGAAACGTGCTTTCCCGATTTGGGATCCCACAAGCACTCATCACTGACAACGGGACTGATCAGAGTTTCCAAAGCTTAGTCTCCAAACTCGGCACCTAACAACACTTCACCTTGATCGAACACCCCCAAATCAATGGGCAAGCCGAAGCCGCAAATAGGGCCATCTTACGAGGTCTCAAATGAAGGATAGGAGAGGCCAAAAGAGGGTGGGTCGAGGAGCTCCATAATGTCCTGTGGGCATATTGAATGACTCCTCACTCGATGATGGACGGGACTCCATTCCGGCTAACCTATGTACCGAGGCGGTCATCCCCGTAGAAATTTTGGAACCATCCAGAGGAACTGAGGTCCCCCTAGATGAGGAACTAAATGACGAGGCCCTAAGGGAAGAGCTCGACCTAGTTGAGGAAATCCTCTTAGGAGTAGCCCTTCGCGAGGCCACACTGAAACAACAGATAACTCTTCGCCATGACAATAGAGTCATAAAGCGCAAATTCCAGCTTGGCAGTCTAGTCCTACGGAGAAATCAGAAAGATTCCCACGAAGGGAAGTTGGCAGCGAACTGAGAAGGATCGTACCGTGTCCATGGAGCTACCGGCACCGTGGAATACTACCTTAAACATTTAAATGGAGAACCACTACCTCGACCATGGAACACTACGGAACTGGAACAATATTACAGCTAAGTTCTGATCCTACTAAGGGCATTAGCAGTCGACAAGTCATCTCCAACCGACGATGAGACAAGCTCGACCATGTAGGCATGTTAAGGTACGGATATGGCTTCCAAACATCAATGCCAGTGGATTGATGTTCATTTCTCGAATAGAATCTTAGCCCGACAGGAACACCTCAATCGAACTCTGCTATCGAAGTACCCAACAGGCAGAACACCCAGCTCACGATGGGCAGTTCACGCCATGAGCTTAAGATCCCGACCGTGATCTTGAGCTTGTTCCGAGGATCCCTACTCCACCCCCTCGAAACATCTTAACATGTGTCATCCACAACCAAGGTCGAGCATAAATCTCCACGCGCGAAAATCACGAATTTTCACAAAATAAACAAGTCAAAAACATCAACAAAAACATAAAAGCATAACAACAAAGTAAGAACATTTATAAATGTCGAACATGGAGGCCGACGTTGTCTAAATATTAAAATAAGTGCGGGCATGCAGGCCGTAATACAAATAACCAAAATATCAGAAATACTAGTCACTTCGAGGAGTGCTTGCTTCGACCTCCACTTCAGGGGAATCAGGAGGGGGAACCACGCGACCATCAATGACTTGGGAATATACCCCAGCACCTTCAGTGTTAAGCCCGGGAATCAGAACGAATAGTTGGGTCAGGGAAGTCTCGAAGCCGTCGATCAAAGCATCGATGCAATCCGACTAAAGGATCTGGATCCAAGCAATTAATTCCGCCCAGGAATGCAAGTCTGCGACTCCCTCAGGCTCTCTGTCCACGAGAAACATTGCAACTTTTAAAACGACAACCTCCTTTTCCAACTGTTCCCTCTCGAGCAACCGGGAATCCCTCTCGAGCAACAGGAAATCCCTTTCCTCATAAGCTTTGGTGGTTTTTTCTTTCCCCCTCGTTAACTCATCGGCCTGCGCACAAAACTTCTCCTCGCTCCGCTCGAGGGAACTTTTTAGCTTTTGCGTCATCGCTTGAAGAGTCGTCTTCTTCGACTCCAATTACTTCACCAATCCAGAGGAGCCAGATCCCTAACCTGCAAGGACTACATCCATCTTCGTGACCTTCATCAAATCGACCATCCCGGAAGCCAGGTGCTTCTGTCGACCCTCCTCATCGAGGCGTCTGATAATGTCAGACTCAGCATCAGACATGGTCAGATGGAAACCCTTGAAGAAATCCTTTTCCATAAAACAAGGTGGAAGGTTGAAGGCTTGTGTTGTCACCCTCTCCTCGATTGCACGTGCATGTCCACCTTCTGACCTTCTCTTCTTGCTCAGAACAACCGCAGGTTGTGCGGTGTCACGGACGCCCGATGACCCACTTGAACCATCCTTGGTCGGCTCAGAGACCGGGCCAAGGCGTGTGGGATGGTGCGGCATCACCAAACTCTTGTGATTTTATTTTCTTGGGTGAGCTTCAGCAGTCATTTACGATGCTCCTCCATGTTACCTGCGAAAAAAATGATATCCCCGAGTTAGTATCGTTAGAAGGACATAAACAAATATATCAAGAAGTAAAAATGCAACAAATCACGTGAGCAGAAACCTAGAAGGTTCACAGCCTGTCCGTAGGTTCGACATTCCTTGAGCGCCTTGGTGTTGATCGGGCGCGCCTCGAAGGTCGGTTCGCCATCTTCGTCGAGAATGTCGTGTCTTTCCCTCGTAACCCACCTCGAGGGAAAGAACCCATCAACGAATCGAGTGAGGATACCATATGACTCTTCATCCTCGACACTCATACTCTCAGGAGGGGTGTGGTGATGGCCAAGACTGTGCTCGTAGTGACCCGAGCACTAGTGGATAGGGAACATTGAAAGTCGCCCAATCTATGGATTGCTCTCCTCGCCGAGGAATACTTCCCCGTATTCATCCACTACTTGAACCGGGTCGAATACAGCATCCACGGCCGCCTGAGATGATGGTTGCAGGACATACCATTTATCCTTGAAGTCACAGACATAATCCATGTACATCCTTCACAGTCTCTTCGACTGCTTCAAGGAAGCCTAAATATGTTTGCCACCCCTAGATTGTCGTTGGAGGTGGAAAACTCTGAAAAACAGAGGAATGGTCGCCCCGATCCTCAGGAACCGACAAGTGATTTCGAAATCCTGGAGGAAGGCGATTACATTAGGATGTAATTGAGAAGGTTCCAGGTTCAAGTGGTTAAGCACTCCCATCTGAAATACATTGAAGGGAAAACGAAGCCCCAAGTCTATGAAGATAACCTCATACATCGGGAAGCGATCCTTCTCGAACTTCGTGAATATCCTTGATGTGGTAGTTGGTTGCAAGATCGTGAAGTTACGACGAAACCCTTCCATGTCGCCTCCATGCTCGATGACGGTATAGGCTTCCCTTCTTCTATAACTATAAACTGAAGCTACCCATCGAGGCTCTGGCCCGACCAATGACAGTGCAGGGTCGTTAACCGTGTCGACCAGATGGAGCCCTTCCTCTGCAGTACTTGTCTCTTCCACATCTATTTGTTCA